CCAAAACCCCTTGACCCTAAACCCCTAACCCCTAAACCCCTTAACCCTAAACCCCTTAACCCTAAACCCCTAAACCCCTTAACCCTAAACCCCTTAACCCTAAACCCCTTAACCCTAAATCTCGTTTTTTTCTCAAGAGCATCTCGGAGGCTCCGAGCTCCCATTGTAATATTGACTCATATAGAACTGGTACTTATGGGTTTAGGGGTTTGGGGGGTTTAGGGTTTAGGGGTTTAGGGTTTAGGGGTTTAGAGTTTAGGGCTTTGGGAAAAAAGGTTTAGGTCCATGTAAGGACAATTGGGGGAGGGGGCTTGCTCTGGCAGGGGCAGGACAAGATTCTTCTTATTCAATTTGGCATTGCTGTTGTTTTGTTGGTCGTATTTGTGCCAGTAATACTAACTATCATAGCTGCATGCTGTAGCTAGGATATAAGAGCAGTTCGTAACTGGGATGTAACCACTCTGAACCTCCAAGCAACCAAAGGAGAATGTCGTCTTGCGTTTTATTGGGAACTAGCTCTGAACATTGAATGCCTAGACCCCAATATGGCAGCCCATAACTGGTGGGCGCGCATAGGCCTTCCATGATCTAGATGTTCCAGAAAGCTCCCAAAACGCCCGTACCAAACTAGGCCTTCCATACCATCCCTATGAGGTCCAAGGTGGAAGTCATGTTGCAGTACGGACAGTACCCACCTGTAGATGGCTTCAGCTAAACCGGAACCCCAAAAGTAGGCAGAATAATGGCCTTTTGGGCTATTGTTAGGGGCTTTGGGCTACTAGTTCACCTACTTTTGGGCTTCAGCTAAACCAACTTTGAAGCATTTCATGTCAGAGCCCTAAGCCCCAAAGTGCGCGTTCAAGTCTGTTCAAACCCTGCATGCCTGGATCCACAGCTCAGGGCCTGCGCCTGCTGAGCCCCAAGTCCAAGAGAATTACAACCCCTAAACCCTGAACCCTAAACCCCTAAACCTCTGAACCCCCAACCCCTAAACCCAAGACCCCAAACCCCTGAACCCTAAACCCTAAAGCCTGAACCCTAAATCCTAAACCCCTACAACCCTAAACCTTGAACCCTAAGCTCTATCAGGTTGCCACTTGACAGCTTCCCGACGCCGGCGGCCAACATGTCCTGAACCACGCCCAGCTACAGAAAAGGCAGGTTTAGGGTTTAGGATTTAGGGTTTAAGGTCTAGGATTGAGGGTTTAGGATTTAGGGTCTAGGGTTTAGGGGAACTTTGGGTGCGGGATTCGGACCGATATGATTTGGAGTTTAGGGAAAGGTCTAGGGCTTCTGGTGGGTGACGGGAGCTTGAAGGTTTAGAGTCTACTTGAGATTTCTGCGAACCTAAACCCTAAACCTGAACAGGGACCTGCTGTCAGTGCATGGGCATTCCGGGTGTTCGTTTGAAGGGACAATATGCAGACAATTCCCACGAAATCTATGGTCAATGAGCTATAGTCTGAACTCCTAGTATCCCCCTTTATAACCCCTATCATGCTCCCCTTGATACTCCCTTCCATAGGCCCCTCTAAGGAGTTCAGACTATAGCTCAATTGCTCCAGGCTCCAGGTAAGAGACGTCTTGCAGCAGCATGCCGCAGAAAGAACATCAAACTCTAAACCCTTTAAACCCCTAAACCCGAAACCCTATAGTAAAGAGGACCTTCTTCGCAAGGTCCAGGGCTTGGGGTTTTAGGCTCGGTGATTGCTACAATGTGTTGAGGATGCCGTGGGGAGCTTGGTTACTTTTTGCAGTAGACAGCTAGCCTCCCAGCCGCTTTAATGCTTCCGAAGACCAAACTTTGACTTGTAGACCCAGGAGAATGAATGAACTAAAGACAAACAACCCCGAAAGCAATCGACTCAAACGGGGACTAGAGGTAGCGCCAGGGTACCCCTCCAAATAGAAGTCTACCGGTGCGGGTTGCACACATTACGGGTTTTTAGGGCCTCGATGGAGGTTTCCAACATGAGGGGCCTCTTTACATCGTTCATAATACCTTGAAATCTAGTTCCAAGGGGCAGAGGGGAACTTAAAAGGGGCATTTGAAAAAAACTGTCTGCCCGGGACAGATACCTGCTATCTAAAGATGCCCATATCATGTTGCCTTTTTCCCCAAAAAACGAGAAGAATCCTGGTTATAGGAAAGTGCATGAGCGGAGCCATGATTTGGGGAAACCCTGTAGAGCTTCGAACGGCGGGTTTGGGCTTACAAGGTTTGGGTATGTGCAGGATTTAGGCCCGTGTCCGCGGTAGATGCTAACTATACTTGCTCAAAACTCGGACACTTAACGAAAAGAGCCTTTACTGCAGCTTCCAGAAGTAGCCGGCTCCCTCTGGGATTTTGGAAAGGGTTTATAGGCTGTAGGGTGTAGAGGTTTATAAGAAAGAACCCCAAATTTCAGAAGAAATCCACATGTTTCAAAGGTTGCAGGGGCTGGCAGTGCTGTCAAGACACGTTTTCACGCGCCATAAGCACCTGGGTATAATGGTTAGGCTGTGTTGTCAAAATGGGGGGTGGCCTTAAGCAATTTAAGGGACATAAGACAGAGGCCCCGAAAAAAGGAACCTGATTTTAAAGTCTACTCGAGGTGCCTTATACCGCAATGGTACCAGGAATCTTTAGCCATACAGGCTCGTACCTTATTCGGAAAGGGGTTGTCCAGGTCCCTGCTGTAGACTAAACCCTAGACTTTCCTGATTCTACTGAAGTGATTCTGGAGAACACCCATAGTGCCGATGCAGGAAATCCTGCGCCACCTTAAACCTTGAACCCTAAACTTACCTTGTATAAGTCCCTTGACTCCTGGCAGTTCCAATGCTTTAGGAAATGTGGGATGATGCAAGATTTCCAATCAACAGTATTTTGGCACTTGGGGATCGGGTGGGCCTTGGCCTGCTGGTCTGGGCTTAAGGTTTAAGGTTTAAGGTTTAGGGTTTAGGGCGGGGAGATGGTCTGGGTTTCTGGTCAGTTAGGTGTGATGGTTTGGAGCTTGCGAGGCGGTTGACTTAGGTCAGTTCTACAAACCTTAAGCCGTGAATCCTAAATCCTAAACCTTAGTTAAGCCCTAAACCCTGGATCCAAACCCAAAACCCGTAACCTTGGGCCGAAAACCCTGCATCCTTGAATCCTACACCTTAACCCCTAAATCCTGAACCCTAAAGACCCCAACCTAAACTTAAGCTGCGCTTCGACCCAGGCTTATGGGCTCTGAGGGTCCAAGCAGCAGCCCACTGAGCAGCACTTTTTTTGGTGGTTGAACCTAGTAAGATTACATTCCTTATGTCGAATACTGAAAGGAGGACGTAATCTTACTCTATATTGGGTACCATGGTATCCCAAAATAAGATACTACTCACCTGGTGTTCAGCGCATAGGGTTCGAAACTGCAGGGTCAAAGGTATTCCCATCAACAGGGGAGCCCGTATCTACCTCCCAACTGCTATAATCATTGCCATGAGTGCTCCTCCCAAATGTCACCAGTTTTGACACTCCATGTCGGCTCGGAGATAAAGTGGATGCCACTCAGCAACTTCCTTCACATAGCTGTGATTGAAATTAATGGTGGGGAGAGTGTCAAAATCGCAGTTCTCTTCCAGCCATTAGAATATGGCCCCCAATATACATATCTATATACGTACACACAATACCCAAAAAAGGGCCGGGCATTTCCGCATCCTGACCCCTAAACACTAGACCCTGAACCCTAAATCCATTCAATGGGTCCCAGGATGAAGCCCTAGACCAACTTCAGGTCCGAAACTCCCATACCAGGTTACTAAAGCCAAAGCCCTGAACCCTGCACCATAAACCTTAAACCCTCAGGTAAGCCCTAAAGCTCACAGGAATGGGTAAAGTCCCCCTAAGCGGTGGGCAACCTGAAACATGGGCTCAGATTACAGTGCCCTTACTGGTTGTCAAACATCCCAGATGACACACTCATATGCTGCAAAATACTAGAGCTCTTGTTAAAGAGAAGCTCCCCAAAGAAAGGATGATGCCTCATTGTTGGAAGCTGCTGGTGGATCCTTGGGATTATTCTGGTCAGTCCTCCGCCCACATACTATGTTCGAGAGCAGATCATAGGCTATAGCCATACTCTGTATTGGGGTACCATACTATCCTGCAAGACCCTGAACCTGATAGAATCTAAGCCCTAAACCCCCTAAACCTCAACCCTAACCTTAAATCTAGACCCTAGACCTTAAACCCCAAAATCTAGACCCTAAATCCTAAACCCCCTAAACCCGACGGAAAAAAAAAAAATCTATCGGCAACCTCGCCCTCCTCTGAGGCATGCGCAGAAATCTGCTTGGGACCCAGGGATGCGATTTGCCTGTTCTCAAAATGGGCTAATTACCCTCACAGTTCAGGGATTTACGTAAGGTTTATGAGGTTTAGGCATGTAAGGGCTCTAGGGTTTAGAGTTCCCTGTTTAGGGTTCAGGGTTTAGTTTTTAGGGTTTGGGGTTTAGGGGTTCCGCGGCCATATGAGGATTACAAGGCTTTAAGCAGGATCTGTGGGGTCCTTGCCCAAGATTTGCAAATGGTGATTTTGAGAAACTTGCAGACCACTGATTGAGCCCTTTGATGGCTCAGGGTCCGGCTACAAAAACTTAGGCGGTGATGGTTTCGAACTCATGCCCTTGAGGGGCTTAGGCTCAGCTCGTGAACGGCTTACACTCCCGGAGATGGAACCCCAGACCTGCACCCGAAACCCTAAATCACAAAAACGTGGATGGAGCCCAACAAACACAAACGGCGTTTGTATCCAAAAGCAGCCAATGGTCAAGCCCGGGATGTATAGCTAAACTGGGCTGAGAGGTCAGGGTTTAGGGTTTAGGGCAAGGTACTTCTATTTGTTTTCATTCAGGGAGTATGTTCTAGGTTACCATCTTCACAACAGCGCGCTTCAGTTTTGTGGGATGAAATAATCAAGATTGTCCACTTGTCGCTTGGAGAAGCTCGCATTGCACAAGAAGGATTAAACAACAGCTGAAAGTGTAGGCACGTAGTCCCCCTGAAGTAGATAGAACATGGGGTATATGGGGATCATATTATAATACCCAAAACCATAGTCTATCTACTTGAGGGGGACTATACCTCGAAACTTAACATGCAACGTACGCAGGCAAATACAAGCTCAAAGGACAAAAGGCTATCACGTTGTTTCTGCACCTTTTGAGCGCGTTCCTACGACGTAGTAGCAGCCTGATGTGGAAATTGTTGTTTCTGCAGACTTTCTTCAGAATCCGCACAGACGCCTTGACAAAACCAACCCCTGAAACGCCAGACTCTAGAGTCTAAACTCTCACCCGACATTCGTCAACCTACACACTCCGGTCCCGATACCATTTTCATAATGCTTGGCAATCTTATTGCTTAAGCCCGAAATCCTACGCCCTACAATGTAATTTCAATGTAATTTTCCATTTCTGTTCTCTTCCATTCCTCCACGCCCTCCTACAACCATGTACAAGCTTTGAACCTACCTGTTTGTTGAAGCCCCCACTTTCCATTTCTTTCCTTGCTTGTCCATCGGATTTCAATTCACTGCTGGCAACCCAAAGCCCAAATAGTAGTTAGCTTCAACTTGCCCTTCAAGTACCTACAAACAACCCGAAGCTTCTATATAGTACTGTAGTTACTTTCCGTTCCCTGCTAATCGTAAGCCCGGATGCTGCGGTGTGAACCGGGGCTGGAAATTATCCGGAGCGACCCTCGGCTTGGCCAAGGTATAAAGCTTTGGGTTTAGGGTTTAGGGTTTGGGGCTCAAAGTTCAGGTTGTAGCCTCAGACTTAGGCTGTATATAGGATGTGGCGCAGATGGCTAGTTTGCAGGTTGTAGGGTGTGAGGGCCAAGGGTTTGGTGTCCTTCCCGGCTGAAGTGAACACTTCAGCAAAAATCAGTACCCTAACACCCTAACCCTAGGCCTTCCGTTCCGAAACTCAATCTCTTCTTCCTGACACCCCAAACCCTAAACCCTGAAGGGTTTAGGGTTTAGGGTGGACCACTGCTTAGGATTTAAGCCGGTTCGTATTGAAATTCCCAAAATCCCATACTTTTAGGCCCAGCTCCCTACCCCCAGCCCCTGACCGCAGACCCGCGAACCCCAAAAGTCTACTTGAAGCGTACTGAACTTTTAACTTCGCTTTAACGCTTGTGTGTAGATTATGAGGGTTGTTACCTACAATCATAGCGAGGTTATAGATAAGTACCCTGAACCTTCAAGTATACCCCTGAACCCTAAACCCCTAATTCTCCAACAACTGGCTCTTAAACCCTAAGCCCACAAACCACCAAAACCTTAAACCCAAAAGCCTAAAGCCTAAACCCTACACCCTGGAACCTAAATCCAAAACCCAGATTCCTTAACCCTACATCCAAAACCCTAATTCCTAAACCCTACATCCCAAACCTTAATTCCTAAACCCTAATTCCTAAGCCCTAAATCCTCAAACCTAAATCCTAATCCCTTAATCCTAAAAACTCAGCCCCGGCGGCGGCTGCAGCAGCAGCGCTGCCTCGACTCCGAAGACCGCGTCGGCGAGGGCTGCGCCCGAAGAGAGGCGAGTCAAACCTCGAGCCTGAGTAGGTTTGGGGTCTTAGGTTTAGGGCTGAGGGTTTAGAGCTCAGGATTTACGGTTTAGAGTTTAGGGTTCAGAGTTCAGGATTTAGGGTTTAGCTAATATTAACGGTAGCTGTTACGACGGTTAGAGGGGTTTGGGGTTTAGGATTCAAGGTTTAGGGCTTAGAGAATTTTACCACAGCAATCGAGAGCCAAATAGAACATAAAATGAAACTGTAATGGGAACTGGGACAATATAGTCGCTTATAGGATTTAGAATCGATGGCTTGTAGGGTTTAGCGATTCACGCTCAGGATTGCTCTTTAGGTCTAGGACTCGGGATTTAGGGTTCAGGTTGTAGAGTTGGGCGTTTTGGGCTCTGGGCTTCTGGCCACATGGGTTGGAGGTTTCGGACTTAGGGTTTACGGGGTTGGTATTCAGGGGTTGGAGTTTCTGGCTTTGGCGGCTTAGGGTTTAGAACGAGTACTGCCCCTGTTAAGCTGGTTCTTTCGGATACTAGTCGTTGGTTGAGCTTCCTCAAATAGTTGGCTTTGGGGCTTAGTTTTTTTGTGTTTAGTGTTTGGGGTTGGGATCTTTGGGTTTAGAGTTCCGGGTTTAGGGTTTTCCACTGGGAGCTCAGACTTCAGCGATGAAGGCTTCGGGTTTCGGGATTTAAGGTTTAGGATGGAGGCTTCTTACAGGACTCAGGGTTTGGGGGGTGGAAGGATGGGTGAGGAATCTTGGTTTGTGTGAGACGTACAGGACAGTGATGGTGGGGTGCAAAACATGGGTGCTACATTTGATTGTAAGACCCTCGGTGAGCACTACAAGATCCGAACACCGCGTGGGTGAGGCTTCGTAACAAATCCCTTCGAAATCTCATGTGCCTCAAAGCCTGCAAGCTAAACTCCGAGTTGTGTGGTCCTTCAGGTGCTAACCCCTAAGCCCTAAACCCTAAGCCTGTACCCTAAATCCTAACCACAAACCCCTGAACCCTATACCCTGAACAACACTACTAAGCCCTAAAGCCTAAACCCCTAAACTTCTTATGAAGCCAAGCCTACCTATTTGGATACTCCATCCCGCAACTGGAATTGAACAGGAGCAGCAGTGGCTTTGGTGTTTAGGTGTTGAACAATGTAGGGTTTAGGCTTCAGGGCTTGGGTCTTGGGGCTTAATGTTTTAGAGTTTCGGGCTTTAGGGTTTACGCTTGAGACTTTGGGGTTTAGGGTTGAGGGCTTTAGGGCTTACGGGTTTAGGCTTTGGGGTTGAGGGAGGGTCCCACGCCCTACCGCAACAATGGATGTGGCCCCTACATGCACCATGGGAACATGTGTTGATAGATAGACGGGTTTCGAATTGGCGGGGTTATGCTTCTTAAAGCCAAGCATCCAGGATCCGAAGTGCCTTGGCTGACCACAGCGCTCAGCAGTGCACCAACATTGGACAGCGCCCGAAACCCCCATTTTTGCCAGGCTCAACAAGAAGAATGCCATAGTATTTAGTATTTAAAGAACAGTTTTCTCGGCTCAGGGCCGTAGCGTCTGGATTTGAGGTTTTGGCTTCTGACTTCTGCCAGAAGAAAACTTTCGGAACCTAGACCTGAAATGGCCCCTAGACCCTGCAATCCCTTTGTTCAAACCCTCTGAGCCCTATTTCCAAAGCCAAGCCATAAGCCCTTATTCCTGGCGTTCTTGGAGCTTCAGGAACTGAAGGACTTCTTTCATCAACATTTTCCCAAACCACTCCGAGAATGATGCCCTCAAAAAAAATTCTCGGGTTTTATGACGAGGGCTTGTGGATTTAAGGTTTCAGGTCTATGGCTTCGACTTTAGGGCTTGCTGGCTGCTCTTCCTATGGGAACTGAGTCCGGGGACACATTAGAATCATAAAGGGACTATAAATCCCCAGTAGCCTAGCACACCAAACAACCCCTTTTTGAATATTTCTAAACACGAACTTAGGACCCAACATGGGGAACATGGGCTTACTCAAAACCCCTGGAGGATCATGCGCTGCATGTGGGGACAATGTGTCTGTCATTTGGGGAAAATATCAGAACACCATGTGGATGGTTTCAAAACAGGGCTTGCCCTAAGGGATTGCGGGCCCTTAAGAGTCCATAGCATCTGTAGGGACATGAGCTTTAGAGCTATAAGCCCATGATTTTCCATAGAATACTCCCTGTATAATCCCCGATAATAATCCCTTCTAATGATCCCTTAGTATGACCCCATATGGTAGTTTCCCTAAATAAGGGGACCCCAATATAGACCCCAAAATACTATAATCCTTATTACGGGACCCCCAAAAAAGGTACCCTTAGTTTTGGGAAACCCCATATAATGATTCCTATATAATCGGATGTAGGAGACCCGGCCCTGCAGCTGCTACACCTTACAAGGGTCAAGTAGGAGCCGAGCAGGCGTCCCATACAGATACTTTAGGTCTTAGGGTTCTTTGCGCTAGAATCATGTACTATTCGGGTAGGCTCTGAGGACAGGGTCTTAGGGCTCACGTTGCTTCCTAGAGTAATGCCTCATGTACTCTGTTTGCTTGCTTGATAGCTTTCGTGAACAAGGAGAGGTTTGTAACCCGATCCCTTTCATAAGAACCATCACAAAAACCTGCAAGTTTGATGTATCTACCTCCCAAGCCCAGAACCCCAAACCTCGCATAAACCACCCAAACCCTAAACCCTAAATCAATA